TTAAGGCCCGATGCCACAAGTGTGAATGTCCCCATTATCCGAATATGTATGAAACAATTTGACCAATTTTTAAGTCCTGGGAAGGTTGCCATGTAACAATACATCCAATTTTTTTTATTACTTAGTTTTTAATAAAGGTTTTACATATTTTTTACAACAGAAAAGGAAAACAACAAACAAGCAAAAACAACAATAACAAAACAAGCAGTCGACTGAAAAGCACAGCTTTTTCCCACAAAGCAATTCTGGCAGTGAGAACATGACTTTGTATTCATGAACTGACAGCACATCTACAGATGTAAGAGCAGCCTAGGAGAAGCATGCAGAAGTTTATATAGATGTGAGTAGGCACAAACAAGAGAAAGAAAAAATTCATTAATTTAAAAAATTTTCGGATAGATTTCAACCACTTGTCCCATCTTGTGGTATAAATATTAGCTTGCAACCTTAACAAAAAGGTAAGTTTTTCCATTTTATGAATCTCCTCAACAACGCTCAACCAGTCCAGAACAGGGGGGTCAGTACAGAGCCACTTACGAGTAATTGCTAAATAAAATGTTATGACAGGCCGTTGTTTTGATTTAAAGCCTATAGTTTGTTCTATCTTTGATATAACATCTTCCCAAAATTTAGAACGTTTTTGACACGACCAGAATATGTGGGTATGGTTTGCAACAGTTTCCCCAGCATGAAGAATTTCCCCGTGTTTGTTGTTTTGGTGTTATGAAAAATCGTACCACGTTTTTCCAACTAAATTCTCACCAGTATGCAGAGGATGAGTTTGAAATAGCAGTCTCACACATATTGTCCCATCGCTCAGAAGTTATAACTGAGGACAACTCTCTCTCCCATCTTCCCTTTATATAATCTGTTGAAGTTCCCCTTCTTTTTAATATGCCCTGGTAGAGTTTAGAGATAACTGACTTACATCCCTTAAAGTATGTTTGTGAAATCAGATTAATTATTTCATTGGGTTGTGTATTAATTTCTTTAGTCACATAATTGTAGGTATCTGAAAAAATCATTTTTTCCTAGCTCATATTTTTCTTGTAATGTTTGAAAACTTTGCAGGCCTTTCTTATCCAGTATTTTACAGTATACATTAATGCCTTTATGCGACCAGTTCTTAAATTGTAAATCCAATTGGTTTGGTTTAAAATCAGAGTCATAAGCCACCCACTTAAGTACTTGAATGTGGTTCCTTAGATTTAGTTCTTTCACTAACTCAAAGCAGATAAGCAATGTAAAAGATGCGAAAGGGTTCAGTTCTTTCTGGTGGGCTGTTGCCAGCTTCTGATCACCTATCAAGGCTTGTATTGGAATGACCCCACACATATTCTCAATGTCGTTCCATCGGGCCCCATAAGTGTCATCACACCATTGTATAATTATTTTGAGTTGAGCAGCAAGGTAGTAATCTCTGAGACTTGGGAGGGAGAAGCTGCCTTTATCTTTAAGGATTAATAATGTGCTATATTTAATAGCAAAATTTAACCTCATTCGACAGGCTATAGTTAAAACTCAAAATTTGTGTTTTTCCTATGTTGAGTTTGTAACCAGAATACATCCCAAACCTTCCCAGCAAATCTAAAAGGGTCCGGATGGACTGGTCTGGATTTGACAAGTACAAGAGGACATCATCAGCATATAGTGCTATTTTATGTTCTCTTGAATTAACCACGACCCCATGAACACTATTATTTTCTCTTATTGCCTGTGCTAAAGGTTCAATGTAAAGAGCGAAAAGAGTCGGAGACAAGGGACAACCTTGGCGAGTAGATCTTTCCAACTTTATACGGTCCGTGACTCGTCCATTTATCTTGACTCTCGCGGTAGGCATTGAATATAATGTCTTAATACTGTTAATGGAGTTTTCAGCAAAACCAAACCTTTCTAAGACCAAAATCAAATACGTCCAGCTAACGCAATCAAAGGCCTTTTTGGCATCCAGACTTTTTAGTACCGCTTTATGATTACTTTCTCTTACATTATTGATTATGTGGAGAGAGGGTCTTATGTTGTCTTGGGTTTGCCGGCCCCCAACAAATCCAGTTTGATCTTCATCAATCAAATCTGGGATGAACGAGTTTAGCCTATTAGATATAATTGAGGCGTAAAGCTTATAATCTTGGTTTAGGACTGATATCGGCCTATATGAGCTGCACAGCATTTTGTTCTTACCGTCTTTAGCTATAATTGTTATGATTGCCTCAGACCATGATGGGGGGGTGGACATATTCTCTAATGTCCAGTTCATTGACCTTAGCAAAACTGGAAGCACCTCCACCTCAAATGCTTTATACCACTCAGCCGGCAGGCCATCTGTACCTGGTGTTTTGTTATTTTTTCGTTTCTTTAAGGCCATTTCCAATTCTTCTTCTGAATCTGTTTGGTTAGGCATTCATTTTGACACTCACCAATTGATGGCAAATCTAATGAGTTAAGAAACATTTTTATATCTTCTGTATTGGCTTGTGCAGGTTGTGTGTATAACATTTTGTAATAGGTTTGGAATGCCAAGTCAATGTTGTCAGCTTGAAAGGTCTTCTTACCCTCAAATCACCCTCACCATCAAATAATGTGTACAATGCACAGCCAACTTATGGAACAAAGCAATACTTCACACAGATCAACTGGACCTGGCCTCTTGTAACTTTACATTTGGCTTGGAAACTTTCATCATACCTTTAGAAAATTGGAAAAAATATTCTCAAACTACAAAATTGAGAAAACATGGGATTGTCAAAATTATTTCCTTCGGGATTAATAAAGTATTCTGATTCTGATTTCGATTTATACCCGATATATAATTTAAGTCTATGAGGGTTTGGAGGTTAGAGCTTTTAAAGTGGGCATTGGGCCTAAATCGTTTCAAAGGTGTTGTCTGTTTTTTGTGAGGTTTCAGTTCAGCTCAGTTTTATTTACATAGAGCACAGATCGCCTATGAATAACATTTAGTAGGGACAAAAAAAATCTTTGATCCCCTGTGGCCCCTCCACAATGACAGGCAAACTGGCAGGTCAGCATGTCTCGTGGTAGCTCTGCTACCACTGCTGTCTGGTCTTGTGTGAATAAGAAACACACTGTACAGTGACACATGTAGATTCTGTGTGTCAGCATACACATAATGTGGAGGAGGTGGAGGGACTAAGTGATTTTCACAGCAGATTTTTCCATTTGTTAAAAATTAGATTTAAAAATATAGACCTTCCATTACAACTTGTGACATGAAGGTGAAAACACTTGACATGAATTTTCACCCACAGAAGAGCCAGTGCATGGCCTCATAGAAAAGTTTGCTGAACTCAATCATTAATCTGTGATAGTGTTGCTGATGGTCCCTTATCCAAAACCTCCAGCTGTGTTTTCACAGCTGGCAGATAGAAAGCACTGAAACACGTTCTTGGCAGTCAAACACTTCTGGACTTCTGAACTGTTTAAGATAACTTGTTTTCAAAGGTTAAAGCCATTACCCCGCTGACCAATGCTGCCCATGTTGGCACTTAGCTTTCTTTTAGAAGAATTATTAAATGGCCAGGTCAGCATACTCATACTCACTCACAGAAACCTTCCTTCATTATTCCACTTGGTTTGCAGTGCCCCCTGCTGTTAGAAGGCCACATTTCAAATAAAAGAAAACAGACCTTTTTCATCCAAAGCTCTATAATTACATAGGTGTCTTGCAATGTAAAGTCAGGGTGGTCTGGCTTATTTACAGTTTGCTTTCTTTTAAACGTTTGGCAGGCTAGACATGCCATTTAGGTTTGCTGTGTTTTCTGTAATCTGTAATGTTGAGGAATAAACACCTGGTTGATCTGCACCTCATCTATGTCTCAAGCCTCCTGCTTTATTCCTGCTGTTAATGGCCAGTCCAACAGAGATGAGATTCACGTGGTCTAATTAAGAGTGTCTTTGTTTCTGTAACAGGAGTAAAACAGGAAATAGCACAGAAGCTTAGTTAACTCATTCACTGCCAGCCATTGGCAGTGAATGAGTTAACAGGCCAAAGCCGTTGGTGAGGTTCCCTAACTGCCAATTTATTAAAACCTAGTTTAAAACCTCAAGTATTCCATTAGTGGGCACAACAAAGTACACGGCAAACTAAAACACAATACTAAATAAAGAAAGATGTAAAGAAAAATTATATTGCTTACATTACTTGCAAGAGTGTACACCCATTATGCAAACTGTGCACTTGACCGACAGAACCTGTAGCATTGGAATTGGACAGGATCAAAACCACACTGATAAAAATGACTAAGAAATAATTCTAAAAATGGAGGCTAAATACTGAATAAATGATCCTTAATTTCATGGTATAGAAAAGGTCGGTACTGGCTTAGTGCTAGAAGGGTTTAATAAATATACATGGTAATAGCACTCAATGTAAAGGTGCATTAATTTAACGTACAAATTATTCATTTATGATTAATAAATAAGGCAAAAGGTTAAAGGTAACATGCTCTTTTCTATTTACTAATGGTATTTTTTATTCTGTATATGTTGTAGCTCTCACGGTGTGTTCACGTACAAAGCTGTTTCATAAAAGGATTGTGAACCATCGGCTTTAGAGACCATCTTTTATACCGGGGATGCTACAGATTCATGCTGATTAGGAGCTGGGTGAGAGGACTGTTAGTCATTTTCTATTGTGAAAGACAAAAGAATTCAAACTTTATTACAGGACTTGAACCCCATGTAAGTTCTCCCCAGCAGTATTAAATGAACAACTTTTATGAAAACACTTAAAGTTACTCACCAACACACAAAACATTCATCTTTGCTCAATTAGGCTAAATTACAAGCACCGAATTATACTAAAACAGCCGTTTGGGAGCTTTAAGATTTTTGTGGGAGCTAGCTGAAACTTTGATAAGAGTTCAAACAGGCTGCTGAGAAACTGCTTCATTGCTTTCTATGCGTTTGTCAAAGCAAAAAATCAAATCAAATAAACTCATACCGTCTGAGAACACTTTCCCTCCTACCCTGGGGGTGGCACTGCCGCCGGGTTCAGAGTTCAGTCAGATAACAATTTCCGGCGAGTTAGCCGGAAGTTGGAGCAATGGCCGACGTGAGAATGGACGATGACCTGTTTGATAGCATTGTGTTTGCAGAAGAAAGGTGGGTTTTGTGAATAGATGCTGCTTCCTGTAGCAGTCTGAAGCTCAGTTTCGTTGTTTCGCAGGTTCCGAGATGAAGGCTACCGGGAAGGTTTTAAGAGGGGGACCCGCCGAGGGCTTCAGGACGGCCGCAGACACGGAGCTTGTCACGGGGCCCGGCTGTCCTGCGAGGTGAGGACAGGACCCTTAACTGCGTGATTCAACGTGAACCTCCGGGTGCTCAGAGAGGTTTACTGTCTGTTGTCTCTGACAGATGTCCTTCTATTACGGCTTTGCAATCACGTGGAAATGTGTCCTCCAAAACAACATAGATGGCAAATCAAGGTAGGACCGCCTTAAACACGATCCTCCAGCCGCTCCCGTGCTGCTGTTCATCGCCACAGCTCAGCTAGTACAGGCGCTCTGCGTCTGTGAAACCTCTGTGATCGCCATGTTAATCCCGAATAACACAGCACCGTGATGAAGTGCTAGTTACAGAGTGGACTGAAACCTGTTCCGGATCCGTGGATCAGGCTCTGTTGAGCAGGTGTAGTTACAGGAGATAGTTAGCATTGTTTCTCTCTGATGCTGCTGTGAGTGTTACTGCTCTTTTTAATGCTCCAGAGGCAGTGTGGCAAATGTCGACGCTAGACTCAAATATCCCTAGAAAATACAAAATGCAGTTTTTACAGGACAAATCCAAACCTACATGGCCCGATGTGACAAAACGATTCCTCCTAAACTTAAAAGTAGGTTTTGCCAGCAGTATACCTGGCAGTGAGTCTGGCACGTTGCTGTGAAGGAGTTTCAGCCTAATCTTTGTAGAACTGTAGAATGAACAGCCTGTTTAAAGTCGTGGCAGCGCATCTTAATCTGATTTAAGTCACATTTTGACTAGGCCACTCCAAAACCGTTCAGTGGTGGACTTGCTGCTGTGTTTGGCATTATTTGGAATTGTCCTTTAGGATTTTCTGGTAGAGAACAGAGTTCAGGCCTCGATTTTTATCCAGGTCCTAAAGCAGCCCCAGCCTGCCACACTACCAACACCATGTTTGACTCGTGGTCTTTTTATGAAATGAAATCATCATTTACAAACTGCGTTTTGTATTTATTTTAAGCATTTACTGCTCCACTCCTTAGGAAAGAAGTTATTTGTTTCACCTCTTAGCTGCAGTGTGTGGAATTGTTACAGCTCTATGTCAATCCAACTTGTGTGCCATCAGAAAGCGTGTGAAAGCACTGGACGCCCTCCTTGGAATGATCCAAAGCTCTCCTCTTGATGATCCGCAGTCTCAGAAGCTACAGGATGACATGGACAAGCTTCGAGCTAAGTTCAGACAGGTACTTGATTTCTTGTTTTAATCGGAGCGGAATGAAGGTTTTTGTGGAGCCAGTGACATGATATGAAATCAGACTTTGCTACTGTCACTCACTGGTTTGTGGATGATCGTTTTAAAGCCTTGAGTCTGAGATTTTGGTTTTTCTCTATTTGGACAAAAAAAGTTTTTTTCTTTTTTTTTGAATCAGCTAGCTATTGGGCTTGGGAGGGGCTAATAATCGGCTCAGTCATTTTTAATGATCGTTGAAAGCCCAGATCGTAATCGTGATTAAAATTCGATAAATTGAGCAGCCCTACTGTGCAGCACAGTTCTTGGTTAATTAAAGATACCTCTGGTGTAGTTTCTCAGCCGTCTCCTCGTTTCCCTCTGTGTGTATAGCAGATGAGGCTACAGTGTCACCCGATTCAGTGTTTTCCATATTTTCTTCACTGCTTTTTTGTTGCTGCTGTGCAGGTCTGCTCTATGCTCAGTGTCCCAGCTGACTTCAAGGATTACATCAGCGTGGCTGAAGGCACTTCATTCTAAGTCTGTCTTGATGGTGAACCAGAGCCGACCGAGCGCCCAGACACAAGGTGGAAGCTGATTTGATGTCAGCCTTGAATGCCCCAGCAGATATGGTCTGCAGTGGATTCATCTGAATGCTGGGAGTGTGAGACAGTGACAATCAGACAAGAATTGTGTGATCTTTGATGATGTAGATAAGTCTGAGGAAAATGTACTGTCACTACAGACCCAGAAACAGGAATTTGATTGATTGATTTCCTACAAATTGATTTATTGCAGTTTTTTGACTACAGAACTAAACATCAGGACAGTAAGGCGGTGAAAGTTGTGTCCTTAAACATGTAACATTAGATTTGATGAAATAAATAAGATTCTTTTAACTAGATGGTTGCTCTAAGCCCGACCTTCCCAAAGTGTGGCGCCCGCCCCCTAGGGGGGGCCAGAGCCATTGCAGGGGGGGCGCGGTATGAAAAGGGGGGAAAACAACGCTTGGACACTGCTAGCACGGGGCGCCCACACAAACGCAAAGCAGGAGATGAAGCGTCGCTGAATAAGTTTCCAAACCAGCTTCATTCTAAGACAAAGACTAGAAAATCTGGTGAAGCAAATCTGCCCTTTGGCTTCAGCTGCACAGGTGCTGAGGTAGGTCTCCCTGCAGGGTTGGTTTCCCCTGCATCAGGAGCAGCGCTGGGCTGTTTAAATCAGGGACTAACAGGATCCAACAGCTGTTTATGTTTTTGAACCCATTTTGCACAGAGAGGCATTTTTTGAGAAATGTATTGATGCAATGTTGAACATTATTACACAGGAAACAACAACAACACATAAAATAATGACACCGTGACGCCTCTGCCTTTGTAAATGGAGGGACAGTAACTGCGTGTAAAACCTGCAGACAGTCAGATTAACAGTATTTCGTCTCTGTCATTCTGCAACTCATCTCATGTAAACAATAACGTGGCCACAGCGTGACGTGAATAAAGGCGCATACCTTTGACGCTGCGTGACCAACTCTGTATTCCTCGTCCACACGGAAACGCAAAAAAGGAGTTTAAAAAATCTCAGTTTTGATTCGAAACGCCGTTTACGTGGACGAAACAGCTGCGTGTTCAAAATCACCCGTGTAGGTGCGGACGCAGCGTAAACGAGTTAGTAGTTTATTTTATTACTACCTGTAATTTATTGCAGATTACTTGTATTTGCTTAACTGTTTACTAAATATTTGAGGTGTGAAATAAACAGCAATGGAGCAAAATATGGGCGCGTGTGATTGGAGGATGTGTTTGTGCGCGGTTGATGAAGGTGATAAAGTACATTAAGGTTTTGAGGGTGGAACATTCTGTTGAGGAAATCGGATGAATTCACAGATAAATTGTACATCAGTGTTATGATCAGCTTGACCTTCAGTATGTGTTTTTTAATAACTGTTCTTACAGTTTTTGGACCACGGCGTTCACTGAATGAAAGTGCCCGCTGCAGCGTGTCGGTGTCAGCACGCTACAGTTGTTTAGAAAGGAGGGGCATAGAGGGTATGTTACTGAAGTAAATACAGTGGAACCCCGACTTACAAATACCCCATTTAACGAAAAATTCACGTTACGAAGGCACTGAACGGCAATATTTCTGCCCGTGTTACAGCAAAATACCCGCGTAACGAAATCCGCTGGCTCTGATTGGCTGAGCCCAGAATGCCTACAATGCCTTCCGAATCATGTGACAACCTCTTGGCTTTCGTACTTGCGCTTCGCTGTTCCACTTGAACCACTTGTTTTTTGTTTTTTTTTAATAAACTTTATTTAACAAACAATGAGTATACAACATACGAACAGATGAAGTATACAAAACAACAGAACATGAACACACAAAGCCAGGGGTAAAAGAAAAAGGTAACAATTATAAGAATACACGCAAAAATTCACATACATAAATTGTTTTGAGAGCCTTTTTGTTGGTGCAGTCTGATATTGATTGTATGTACATTTCTATGGGCTCAAAATGTGGTCATAAATATTTTGTACTTGTAAAAAGATTTGTGTGTGGACTTAGAAAAAAAAAACCCTGCAAGTTACAAGTACGGATTTTGACCCTATTTTTCTTCCTTTCATCTGATTGGTCAATGTCATGTCAATCACAAATGTAACAATCCAATCAGAGAACAGATGGGTTTGGCTGTCGAGGGGCGCTTTTTTTGAACTGCAGGTCTTTGAAGGGAATAAATGCCCTTTTACATGCCAACCCAGCGTTTGGTGATTTTTGTGTCACAGGTCTACGTGTTTAATACAGGGACTTCCACAGCCTTTTCAACAGCGCTGCGGACCGCGGGGTGGGGGCGGGCAGTGTTTTGGAAATGACAGTCTTCATTACAAAGCTTTCTTCGTTATGAATTAGCATACATGTTTTTATTGAACATTTGAAGAACCAGCAAAAAAAACAAACTCTTGTAGAGGACATAAAGTCAGAGATAGAAAAGACAAGGAGCAGGTGCATCTAGTACAGGTAGAGCTGCTGCAAACCCGACAGCCAAACCCATCTGTTCTCTGATTGGATTGTTACATTTGTGATTGACATGACATTGACCAATCAGATGAAAGGAAGAAAAATAGGGTCAAAATCCGTACTTGTAACTTGCAGGGTTTTTTTTTTCTAAGTCCACACACAAATCTTTTTTACAAGTACAAAATATTTATGACCACATTTTGAGCCCATACATTTCCACATCCTTAAAATAATGACAGAAATATGGTGTTTTGTTAGTAAACTTACATTTATGGATAAAAAATTTAGCTAAAAGTATTAACAAATTTATCATAAAAAACATTTCTCATACTTCTTGGGGAACTTAAAGAAACAGAATAAAACATTTTCCCATCGTAAAGAAAACTCCCTTAAAATATGGACAATAACAAAGCTGCTAAATTCCTTCCAGAATCTCTGTGTAAAAGAACAGCACCAAAAAAGATGTGTCACAGTTTCTGGATGATCCCCACAGAAAGTACAATTAGTATTTATGTCCCTTTTAAATTTGACCATGTAGTGACTGGCTGGATAACATTTATGTCGAATTTTAAAAGAGACTTCTTTCACCTTATTTACAATCAAATATTTATGGGGGACCATCCAGACTGTCTTCCACTTGATATCTGGAACATATCGGTTCCAATAAGATGTTATATATGGGAGAGAGACGATATCTTCTTGGAATAAACTACGTATTCTCTTATTGCTGTTACCAAGTTCCTGTGAAAAGCAGATTTTTCCTATTGGTGACTCAGCTGGGTCAGGGAGAGTGACTGAGGTAGATATTGAGCTGTCAGTGTTTTTATATAACATTAAAGTCCCTGAGGGTGTGGCACCAAGCACCATTGAGAATTCCTGAACACTGATTGGAAAATTATATAGTGCAATAAAGTACGTCAGTATGTAAGTAGTTGTCCCTCTTACTAACCAGCTGAGCCACCAATAGGATCCCATTCTGGATCCAAGTTTCCAGGAAAAGTGATTTATTTTTCTATAAAATATCTCTGTTGTTCCAGATGAGGTATTTGTGAGGTGAGAAGTTGTGTTTATAAATGAGGGTCCACGCTAAGAGGACCTGCTTATGGAAGGATGAAAGCTTTACAGGGAGTTTCTCAACATTGTAATTACAATTTAAAATAAAAGTAAAGCCACCAAAACGAGAGAAAATGTGATATAGTATAAAGTTCCAGATAGAGGTATGGTTTTAAGAAAATGTTTAGCCCAATTAATTTTGAAAGTGTTATTTAAAGTAGAAAAGTCTAAGACGTTAAGCCCACCTGATTTGTACTTATTCATCACAACAGTTTTTCTAATATAATGCGTACGGTTTTTCCATATAAAATTAAAGAGCATACGGTCAATATCTTTACTACTTTTCTACGACGTATTGTTGTTGCAGTTAGCAATTAGCCTATAGCCTGTCGTTCACTCAAAAGGCGCGATGGGTGCTTCGACCTACGAAAATCTTCGATTACGAAAGACCCTCGGGAACGAATTCATTTCGTATGTCAGGCTGTACTGTGGGTTATGACTGAATGGACTTTTGAACTGAAATTAATCTTGAGGTGAGTTGATTTGCCTTTTTACCATCACTAAAAGTGGAAATGAAACACTAAATGTATGAAGCCTAACTTGCATCATGGCTCTCAGAAACTGACGCATGTAGCGCTGTCTCTGGGTCTGGATCTAAGAAATAAGTGCTTCAAGTTTTAAAAACATGTTTAGCGCCTTTTTTCTGTTCGTATGGAACATTCTATTCAATTCAGTTTTATTTATATTTTATTTATATAGCGCCAAATCACAACAAAAGTCGCCTCAAGGCGCTTCATTCTGTATTGACAGAGGACGGCGCCGGGCTCAATAGTATAAATTAGCCTTTATACATTTAGTCTTTCATTGTCTTATAATGTAATAGTAATCTGATATGTTTTTGTTAAAGCAGCAAGCAACAGATTAGACATGACATTTACAGAAATATGACAATTAGGTTAAAAACCTACGGACAGGCGTGTGGGGGTGTTAAAACTGTGTGTGATGTGTGTGAGAATTAGTGCTGTGCAAGTGTCATTTCTATCAAAGTGGAAGGAGGCTGCTCCTCCATCAAAATGCACGAAAACAGTAACTGAAATAAATGCACATTCTCACTATATCTATATGTCTTTCTATTTGTTTGTGGTAAGCCTTGTTTAAGTGGTGATAATTATTCTGAATTTCAGGAGCAGTACCACACCTCATACTCTCCCCCCGTCGGTCCTTTGTCTATCTGTGCCTCATGCACTAAAACCCACTGTTCTCATTTCTGTGGTTCCACAGTGGTACTGGAGGCCAAGGTAATGCCATCCAGAGGAAGAATCTTGTTAGATACCATATTTCTAAGATTTTCAGGGCCGAGTACAATAACCTCAGACCTAGATGAAACCAACTTCTATCAACGAAGACAGGTAACACTTAGCAATTAGTTAAACTGCAGGAATGTCTTAAAGACATGAATGACCTCTAAATTCCTGCTTTAGAGG